CAAGCCATTCCTCTATTTGAATACTTCATTTTCGAGTTTGTAATTGATCTTTATCTGAATTAAACGAAATAAATTCAATGCCGAACACTATGATTTTTATTTCAACTCATACTTTCGCCATCGCTTAAAATTGTCAGTTTGTTTATCGTGTTCATTTAAACACCGACAAAAATGCAACAAATAAGGGATTTATGTGAAGAAAATGAATAGTTGTGCTTTCCGAAAGAAAAAAATATTTTAATGTGTTGAATTTTTTTCAATTTTGTGGTAGATTAAGCAGAAAGTGTTTGATTGCTACATCAAAATGCGTGCAAGTGGGCTGATGACTTCGGTGGTGGTGTAGCATTAAGGTGAAAATGGCCGATAATGCATATGGGTTTGAAGTGAATTTGATCGAATTTGATCGAATTATTTTTGTTCCAGATGTGAAAATGTTGTCCATGCTGTGTCTGTCGAAGTGTTGAAAAGTCCACAAGTTTCAAACGTGGAAATATTATCGTCTCGATTATTTGCCAAAAAAAAACCAACACATTTTTCGTTGAATCATTTCTCCTAGTGTGTCTGCTGGTTTGTTGCACGCGCCATTTACACGTCGTGTTCATGTCAACACTCCGCGTGCTGACAACGCTGTCACCATACTGCACAGCAATTCAAGCTATACCAGAATCGTGGCTAAAATGACTCAAGGAGACACCATTTGGTTTTCGGACGATTCAATAATTGAGGTAGGTCACTCGTTGGCCAAATCTTACAAAAGGTACACGGGTGGACGCGATAGGCTTTGAAGAAAGCCTACATTCGTTCGGTGCGGCTTTCATAATTTTTATGTACATATTAAATACTGAACGCCTAGGCGTTCATTGCTACGAATGTACGAAAGAAGTGAGAATGGCAATGAGAGCCTAGGCTTTCAGTATTTAAAATGTACATAAAAAATATAGAAGCCGCACCGAACGAATTTAGGTTTTCATCAAAGCCTATCGTGTTCACCTGGGTTTTCATTAATTTCTGTTTCACTTATATTCTAGTTCATCTCGGCGTGTAGGAGAACACACGCTTGGGCCTCTCCTCAACGGAGTCGTTTGTTCTGTCATATTATCTAAACCTCCACAGAACCAACACTGATTCTTCAATGAATCAAGTCATAAAGCCGAATTCGATAGAGGGAAAGATCAAATCGCTCAACGAGTTGTTCTGCGATACGGACCGGCACCCCGACTTTCCATCGAACGTGACGAGAATGTCAAACAGAAATGCAGTGATGCAGTACACTGCGAAAAAATTGCGAGTGGACTGGGATCACGATGGTAATCCACGAACCCCGCCGGAGCAGCTTGTGCCCGACCTTTTCAAAATGTTTGTAAAGGTAAGTGAACTTTTCATAAATAAACAAATAGTCTACTAAGAAAACTTTTCTCAAAAATACAAAAAGTCTACTAAGAAAACTTTTTGCATATTCACAAAAATTCCACTATCCCGATCGACTGGATGACAGAAACGTCGATTTAAAAGTGATTGTGTTTCACGATGACATTGAAGAAGCAATTCGAGGCTTAAATCCGACTGCATCGTCGTTGTTAGTACGTGGTTATGGGCTGTTTGTTTGGGCCGAGTCATTTGAGACTGGACTTCAACAGTAAGTTTAAGTTTTGATTCATTTGGTTTAACGAACGTTTTTTTCATGTGAGATCATTTCTTATTCTTATTCTTATTCTTTATTATATTTTAAAGCGGTATGTGTTTAGCATTATCCCTTTACAAAATTATTTCTTTGTCTGTTTTCAGATTGGAAGCGTATGAAGCCTTGTTTGAACTGGCAGTGAAGATGGGCCATGTGTAAATCCACCAAAAATCAGTCGATAATCTCAAAATCGCAATAAAATAAGTATTCATTCGAGAATAAATCAACGATTTTTCATTTAAACGTTTTCATTTGCTTAGCATTGTGCGAAAAATCTTCTGTCTATTGGTAGGGGAGATGTCCCACATACGGGTCAGCACCACATATGGTTCACCCATACTATCTCATCACAGAAAGAAAATATGGCCGACCCGAATACTGTCAAATTGTTTTCTCAACCGAGGCAAGTTTTTGGTAGTATTCCGAAGTGAATAGACGTACCTCGTGTGCTAGTTTTATTTTTTCACTTTAAAATTGTTGAAAAAGTACTTTTCCAATTTTTTGCGAAGTGTTATTACGCATAGTTTATCAACCGAAAAAGGTAAGTGCGATACACATAAATTCAGTATTTTTCTTATATTTTAACATGAAATAAGCGTTTCAAGTGATTTGTGGTCTGAAATTTTTTTTTGGTGTCATGTTCAAAATGGCGTCTATCCTACATACGGGTCACACAGTGGCACCACATACGGGTCACCTCATTTTTTCAAACGTCATGTATGTTTATGTCATTATAACCTAATGAAAGTGTTTTTATATCATTTTTATAGTGTTTTTATTGATATTTTTGGTGTTTTAGCCATGTTTCCTCCCAAAAATTCGAAAAAATCATCCAAACCAACAAAATCAAGCCAACCCAACAAGAAAGTTGATGCTCAATCGTTGCTGAAGGCTATTAAAGCATGTTCGCTGGAAGGAAAACCTCAGCGTCCAGCTGCTCGAGAATTTGGCGTAAACTTAAGCACCGAAACCACCATCAAACCGTGGCCCAAGGCCGATGCAAAGTGCTTTGTTGACTTCTCCGGAAAACATCGCTAGATTGAAGGAGGTCAAAGCACGGAAGTTGGCAAAAGAAGCAAAAGCAGCATTGACAACAAAACCAAAAGCCAAAAAGAAGAAGCCAGTTGCAAAAGCCAAGCCTGTGGCCAAGCGAGCCAAACAATCTTCATCTGAGAAAGACGCTGACTTTTGCACAATTTGTCTCCAGATGCTGCCCAAAATATTGACCGCACAAAAATCCATCAAATGCAACGGTGAATGCCAACGTCTCTTTCATTTGAAATGTGTTGACATGAGAAATCGCAGCTATTTCACTTGCAAAAATTGTGAATCGGAATTGGAAGACAACGATGATGAGTAAAATTATGAAAATTTTACATTATCTGTATTCTTTCTTGCCGCTAAAGGCTTTCGAAACAAATAAACATTGATACTTTCTACATTTTTAGTGGTTTTGCTTCATATTTTTGCGATTTATTTGGATATTTTCAGGTGACCCGTATGTGGTGTCATTTTTCAGAATGCCAAAAAATAAGGTCCCCATGGAAACGATCATAATTTGTTATTTTTTGGTCAAATTTGTAAACTCTTTTCGGGAAAAAGTTAGCTTTAGTCATTATCTTTTGAATGGTATAAATAGACCGCAAAAATATTTACTCACCCAAGCGAAAGAGTACAATTTGGCTCTATCGTGACGATCATTAGCTCCAGGGCGCACGCATACAGTCATGTATCGGTGTGCGTGAACCGTTTACTATGTTTAACATAGCAGCAGTGAGAAAGGAGAAGTGTTGCGTACATGCGCTAGCCGCTATTCCACGATAAAATGTATCGTCACGATAGAGCCAAATCGTACTCTTTCGCTTGGGCATGCAAAAGTTATAAAAATATTCCAAAGTCTGACCCGTATGTGGGAAATCTCCCCTAAGTATGCAACTGGACTTCATGGAATGAAGCACGGAAAGGTGAATAAACTGTTCTAAAGGTAATGTGAAACAAAAGCTGTTTTGAACGACGAATCAACATTGCCCACTGTCAACATTTGCCTTGGTTGGTGTTAATTTCTCTTTTGCAAAACATTTTGAACTTAACCAAAAAGTGATGTAGTTCAAACGCTTATCAATAGTAGATAATTGTTAGAAAAAAATTACATTCACATCTAAATATCATACAGCACCATGTGCACTGAAAAACAACATGTAAAATTTACCTACTAGCAAGTAGCACAGACACAACGACAAAAAACTGATCGAAGTGATTTTATCATTAAAGCTTACGAACACTGGACGGTCTTGCCATTTCATCCAAATGTCCAAAAATGCATAGGTGCAGAAAGCGGCTGAAAATGTGAATGCTATCATTCACCAGATTCTAGATGATATTTAGTCATATGCTGTTTTAGTTTAATTCGTACTTTTCTTCCCAAAAAACAATTCGGCTTCATTTCAAAAGCCAACCGTACCTTTCAATCCAATGACATTTTCGATGCGTAAAATAACGAACCCCATGCACCGTTGAATCTGAACAGAATTCTCTAGTCATCTCAAGCACCATCTGCTTTCCCAGTTTCTTGCGATTCGGCATTGTTTCTTGGATCGTAGTAAACTTCGATTAAGTTCTAAACGCGAATTTCAGATGCAGTCACACTACGCCACGTTTTTTGAAATTCAACTCAAGGATGAGCTAATGGCCATTTGGAAATTGCCAATCCATGAAGAATTATAATAATGATGATGAATTCGATACATGCTAATCATTTTGAAGCGCATTATTTATATATTCATCGCGGCAAGAAATGTGAATATGTAAATTACAATTTGTGTGAAAAGGTAGTAAATTAAAGTGATTACCAAGTTCAAATAAAAATTGATGAAAGATTCGATTTCAAATTCACACAAACATTATAAAAATGAAAATTCACGAAAAAATTGAAATCATATTAAAAACGTGTTCTTTGAACGCGAAGCAAAGAAATATCATTTCGTTTTGCCCATGGAAAAACACTGGGTTCGATAGTTTTTTGTTGTCTCAATGTGCAGAACAATCTCAATGTGAAGTAGTAAATCAATTCGATGATGCTCAGCAGAGAAATGCCCATGAATAGTCCAAATAGACCGCCACAACTGGCAACAAAATCTGTCATTGTATACACTTCCGTTCGATTGAGCGCAATAAAATGAGTTTGTTTGAATGATATGAGTAGTTGGGTGTAAGCTCTACGTACGCTAAAAATAGAAATGGGAAAAGTTATATCAGTCCATTTCTACCCTCTATGAATTTATGAAAGAGGGGAAGAAGAGACAGAAAAAAAATGATTCACTCACTTTGCTTTCGCAGGAATCAATGATGCATCAATGGCTCCAACCAATGTATTTTCATTCTGTGTATAAAATGGCGTTTGTCCCTGCGAAACCTCCACATCGTAAGAAACTGAATTGCAATCCGGCAAACAATTGCATTTCTGTGTCAAAGTATTCATTTTATAATAGGCTCGTGTCGCATTGTTCAAGCATAAAAACTTTTTTACATTGCAAATATTTGTGAGATTATCCCCTGAAAGAATCCAAAATTACAAACGAATCAACTTGGACGACTTACTGGTAGATAGAAAAAAATGAGCTCACTCGGCATGAAAAACTTAACGCATCCGCAATTATCTCTTGTGAAATTGGACAAGCATTCAAATTCGCATTTCTGTTGGCTGTACCATTTGAAGAAGCGCAGTTGTCGTTCTGCTCTGAAGAAGCAGCCTCGTTTTTCGGGCGAGTATTTTCGTAGTCCATTTGATGTGGCAATCATGTTTGGTTTAACGGAAATGTGAACTTCCCCTTCGATCGGAACGAAAATGTAATCATCAGATGTTTCGGGTACTTCATCAGGAGAATGTAAGGAAAGTCGAAAGCCTTGTGCATGTTTGTGGCAAAGGTCAGGTTTATCATTAACGATCGTATGCAATATCGTGTGCAGAGTGTCACGTTGACTCACGGTGAACACACGATACGGATACACAGTACTTTCATTCACACTAAGTTCATAGCCGTCTTCCATGTTCCAGTGAGAGACATTCGGATTGAATCTCACCGTCAACAGCTCTGGTATAACACTAGAATGATATCAGTTGAATAAACTGCGATTTTAAGCTTTTGTTCAATATCATACTCATTTGTGTATACATCCCAGGAGTTGAGCGAATTGAATGAATAGCAAAGACCTTCTTCGGTGAATGTTTCCCAGTATCTTGCATACGTCTGACTAAAATCTGCTGACCGAATTACTCCCGATGGGGCAATATCTTTAATGGCTTTGAATAGCTTCTCCGTTTTTGGAGAACCGTTTGCACGTCGTATTGTGACAAAATCATGCAAACACATATACTCCAATGCACATAATTGATCCTTCCTAGTCAATGGTTTATGCTATGAACTTTATGGAAGGTTTCGAACTGTTAATACATGTTAATTAAAGACAGCTTACTCTTTGTTCGTCAAGTTCTCTTTTTCCAAATTGGAATTTCGCATATATACATTTGCCAAATGTGTTATATTCACATCATCTTTGTCGTATATATGGGTGGGGCAAATGGTAACTGCCGGAAATGGAACCATCCCAATTGAAGTTGTTCGATCATTAAAACTGACCATCACTGGCCGTTCTTGCCATTTCAACCAAGTGTTCCAAACGCTGCAGGTGCACAAGACAACCGACAAAATGAATGCAATCATCCACCAGATTCTGGAAAACAGTCAATTTGGCCAATGAGTTCATTTCAAGAATGCCCATTCCATGTAAATTGATTTTAATTTTTGAAATTTAACATGAACATTTTACGATCATCGAAAGTTGTGAGGAAAATTAAAATGCAAGAAAAAAAATACAAAAGAGAAGAAGGGAACTGTTCACTTAAAATTAAAATTGAAAATAAATTCACGTATAGTATATGACACATTCATGCCTTTCAATCCAATGACGCTTTCCTTCGGTAAAGTATCGAACTCCATGCACTGTCGAATTCGAACAAAACTCCTTTGCCGTCGTCGTCAGAACCAACTGATTTTCAAAGTTGGATGGAAATATCGACAAATGTTGGAAATGCAGAAAAAAGGAGAAAAATTAACAAATGTTTCGGAAACTGAGCAGCCGCGAGGAAGTTTACATGATTTTTACTATGTGCATTTTCTGCCTTCTTCAAGTTCAATGTTTCATTCATATTCGTAGATACACTGCCTACAAATCGCAAAACATCCTTAGAAAGTTGATCATTCTTTGTTAGAAACCTTTTCCTTTGAATCGGGTGCTTCATTGTATTGAATTTTCAACATTAAAACTGAATATTCAATTGACTAATGAATGACTGACCGTGAATTTAACCATTTTCCGTTTTTATTAGAGACTTTTCTAGAATATTCCGCTTTTTAATGTCAAACTTATCTAGCATCTATGAGTGGAGATATGATCAACTAATTGATTTGAATCCAACATCATATAATGCTTTAATGATAATATACTGTTTTGTAATTTTAAATTTATTTTATCAATTCATAGCATTGCTGTTTAATGGTAATTGAACTTATGAGAAGAAATATCATTCAAATAATAATTCATATCAATGGTTTTGGTTTGAATTCCTCCCTCGATCAAATTAATATCATTCTCTTTGAAATCTATTTCTGAATTCGGTACGCTTGTTTCCCTCATCCCGTGGTGATTCAACTGCTGCGATTGCGTTTCGTTGTCTGAGCCTACGAAAAAATCTCAATGTGAAAAAGAAATTAATTTAACGAGGCTCTAAAAAGAAATACCCAAAAGTCCTCAGCAACTTTATTGTTTGTCGTTTACCTGTCTATATTTTTTGTTTACAGAAAACCCATTGACATCTTTTACCTATTACTTTTCGCCGAACAGACAGCGTGCGAGCGCACAGCGAATATGAATTTATATTCAATATTTGCGAATATTTGGGCTCAAATTTCTACTAACGCTTGGATATGCAAATTAAAATAAAGTTTGATTGTCTTGAAGTCTGTCGTATATACACTTTTGTTCTCATTATAATAACTGATCTACTACGGTATGATAGTAGTATTCTGTACAGTAGTTTTGTAATAGTATTCTGCAAGAAAACAAACAACCAGCCTGTGTTTTTTCGCCTATTCGATGGTGAAATCGTTATACTAAGTGGCCAATCGTTATACTACTTAGTACTTGGCATATCAATGAAAACTGCAACAAAGCAACATAGAAACAAAAACGATGACACTTATAATATTTGCTTGGCAATAGTTTCTTTCGATTTTGTGTCACTTTTTATTATAATGGATAATCACCTGTCTACACATTTGTATCTGCTGAGATCAATGTGTCCGGAATGCATATTTCTAGTATCGTATAAGGAAAATGTCACTTTATTTGCTTTATGAGATATAAAAAATATTCGTTTCGGAAACCTTGGCTGAGCTGAAATTTGGTTGATATAATTTTGACACATCTACAAACTTGTTAGTTAATAGTTGGATGTGAAATGAGCACTAGTTCTATTCAACCAAAAGTTTTGGAGATGAGCGCTATCAATTGCCTCATACAACATTTTCCATTGAAAAAGTTCGACACATTTACTCTCTTCTTATTCGTTTTAATGGCAACGATTGGGCTTCTAGTATGGTGATGATAAACTATAGTTTAAAACCATTTTTAACATTTCAATTTTACGCAAGAATATTCTTCACCATTCTGATAATCATTTTAGGAATTGCGAAAAAGTTTCACAAAATATTACCCAAAGTTGGTTTAGTAAAAATGAAGAATATATTTCTGGGCATTACGATTACGATTCGTCCAGTTTTTTGATAGCCGTTAAGCCTAAACCGTGGTATTTTACAAATGGCACACGTTATCCAAAGCCAGCATCTATTTCTGCTAAGACAGGCATACGAGATGCAAAATTATTACCCTACGAAGATCCAGGAAGTGATCGTATTCTGAATCAAATGATGTTCATTCCACCGACCTACGATCCGTCTCGTAGGAAGGAGATAATGAAAACGATCTATGTACCATTGCGACTACCAACTTGGTGGAGGCTCGAACGCGGTGACAGTGCATTCGTAGATTCCAAGTGCCCTGTCGATGCGTGCAGAATCACAGATGACCCCAAAGAGAGGAAAAATGTTGATTTAGTTATGTTTAACAATGAATACATACCTTCAGACGAGACACGTCCACCGAAACAACTGTATGCGATGTATTATACGGAAGCGCCTGTGTATACAAATCGTTTGGATCGTCCAGGTAAAATGAGCCACATATACAACAATTTCTTATAAAAACTTACTTTTAAAATCCTTCTCATTAGATGTTATCAATTGGACCATTTCATACAGGTTATCATTTAGCATTTGTAGCATTTATTGGATACTTTTTCGCATCATTACCAAATTTTTCTGGTATTATTCTTACGACAGATATGATAGTACAATAGCCGTTCCGTATAATAAATGGGTGTATTACGATCCTCGGCTAAAACAAAAAGAACAAGATCGAAACTATGCGGCAAATAAGACGAAAAAAGTGGCATGGTTTGTTTCCAACTGTGTACGCACTAGTAATGGTCGTCTAGAATATGCTAAAGAACTTCAAAAGCACATTCAGGTTCAAATCAAATATAAAACAAATTTCAATAAATTGTCGTGAATTCAATCAAAATAATTTTTTTACGCCAGGTTGATATTTACGGTAGATGCGGAACTTTGAAGTGCACATGTGAAGAAAGTGAAAAATGTTTCGATATGCTTGATGCGGATTACAAATTTTATTTGTCATTCGAAAATTCAAACTGCAAAGATTACATCACCGAAAAGTTCTTTGACACTGGGCTACAACATAATATCCTACCAATTGTGATGGGAGCGCCGCGTCACACTTATGAAAAATATGCACCTCTTCGGTCGTACATTCATGTTGAAGACTTTGAGTCGCCAAAGCAACTGGCTGAATATCTGCACATTTTGGACCGAAACGATAATTTATACAATTCGTATTTCAAATGGAAAGGAACGGGGGAGTTCGTCGGCAAGGGGCCGGCTTGGAGAGCAATGTCGGGGCTACATCTTTTTTGTCGATTGTGCGCCATGTTACACGATGAGCACAGCACCTCAACTCTACGCTTGTATAGCAATATCAATGAATGGCAACATGCAAAAGACGTTTGTATCAAGGGCTTTTGGCGAGATGTTAAAACTGATGGAACAAGTTAAACATAATCGTCATCTGCTCCACATTCAAAGTGATAAAAAAAACCAGACTGTGCAGCTGTGCACACATCATCTCCATTCGCTGCATTTTTCTACAAAATCATCTTCATCTTTAAATCAACTAACTCAGAACAAACGTGGTTCATAGTGAAAATATGTCTTGTCATGCGTTGTTCATTCATTTGGAACTTATCGAACAAAATGTGATTTCAAAAAAATAAACACATAAAAACACAAGAAAATTCAGTAAACATTACGGAATTTATTGACATATCGGAGAAATACCGCATACCAATCGAACATTCTCTCTACGGATGGAACTACAGCCCAGCACAGGATTCACTGAAGCACATTTTAAATGCACTCAACAATGATTGCGTTCAGAATATTCTACGCCAATTGACCGATGCCAAAGATCTTTTAAGCGCAGCTGAAACATGCTATCATTTCCAAGTGAATGCCAAACAATGATATCCACCGAATTTCAAAGCCTTGTCTTTGTCAGTTGAAAATAAATCGACCGGCAATTACAATGGATAGTCGATGGAGCTCGCATCAAAGTATTTCTCCCTGAAACAACGTCAGCGCCCTCTGATGTAATAGACTGTATTTACATCGAATGTGCATTCAATTGTAATTTTGGAAACGAAGAAAATTGAATCTAATAGTGAATTTTTATTTTAAAATATTTGAAATCAAGTTGAATGAAATTAAGAAAAACAAATTAAATTCAAGTTTGTAAAAACTGCTACTGCTCGATGAAAATCTATCGTTGACTGGTGTCACGAGCACGATATGGAATGCCTCTGTTTTTCATGTCTCTCACAATCGTCTTGGGCAAACGGCCTGACACTGAGATCGCATAGATGCCTTTGGTGAACCGGTCTGAAATGTGAAGAAAATGTTAGTTCATCTCGTTGTGGTCAATTTGTTGAAAAGTTTATTGTCAAACTGATCATTAGCACAATAAGTCTATTGCATTCTATTCAGTTTGAGCGATAATAAACGTGCCCAACAAATGTGATACAATTACGTTCGATTGCTCAACAAATCCAGTGTTCCATGTGAAGAATTTTGAAAGTCAAAAAATAAACGTAATTTAAACTTACTTATACGTTGCCATTTGCAAACCCAACTATCTTCAGGGCTCATCACCGCAATCAAACCATCAAAATTGTTGCTGGTACAGTCGTAAACGTTGTCTTTGTTGTTTTTCATTCGCAAGAATTCCTCGCAATTATCGCAACCGTCCATTTCGAATTGGTCGAATGACTGAAAAGTGTTTGAAAAATAAAAATACGGAATGATCGATGGGTATGAAATACAAAATTGGGACCATCACGAACGATGTTCCGATAAATACCTTGACCAATGAGCACACCAAACAGGCACGAAGACCTCGCAAATCTTTTGGAATCGTATCAAATGACATTTTCCTAAAATCGTCTCCTAATTTCGTGTTTAAATTAAAACCAATTCCAATTGTTTGTATTGGGAAATTGTGCCGAGTTCGATCACAGTGAAATGAAACTATTGAGCACAATTTTGTTAATGTGAGAAATGAAAATAAATGCCAAGCGACTGTGTATTTATCATGTGTTGACAACTAAAATGTCTGTAGTACCAGTTTTGATGGGTGAATACGTTCAATTGCAGTACTAGATCGAACAATTGAATCGAATCGTTCGTCTATTTTAACTAAATTATTTTCATCTGAAAATTAAATTTTCAATAATCGCTATTCTCTTTTTATTTACATTTTTTTAATTCAGTACAAATATGATTTGTTCAACACATTGGTGTCTTTCGTTTTCATTGTTCAGCCAGCGATAGCAGCACTTCTTTTAGTTCTGAAGCAATCGTTCAACGGTGGCAAATTACTAATATTTGGTTTACATTTCATTTCCCAGCCTTTCCAAGCCTTAAAGCCTTCAGTATTTTGAACGATTTGCGCGCATTGAGCCGCCTTCGTAATATCATCTTTCAGCATATCTATTGAAATACAAGTTTTTTGGCGATTTTAAACATTGAAAAACCAATCAAGAATCAGAATGGAACAAAAATTGATCAAAAAATTTGAAGAAGAAGATGATTGATTTTCTTTAGTTTTAAATTGTTGAAAAAAGAAAAAAATTAATTTGAAAATATCGGCGAAGAGCCGAAAGCAAAACTACAAAAGAAAAAAAGCCAATTCGAAATGTTGAATTTTTTTCTGCTTTTCATGAAATAATTTCAAACATACCTTCGCATCGAACTTTGCATTTTCCGCCAACATGTTCAATGCCACAGTAGTTTTTGCTATTTATCTGTAACAACAATTGTTGGAATCGTTGAGCAAAATATTGAAATTGAGTAATCAAAGCAGAGAGCTCACGTGGAATAGACCAAAACTTTTGTGTACTGATGGAAGACTACCGACAATCGGTGGGTATGGTTTGCTGCTTTTTGTGTTGAAGCCACTTTCCGCTTCGATCATGCAAATCCCTAAATGAAAATGGTCATGGTCAATAATTTATGTTATACGCGGTTACGTCACAATGAGCACTGCTCATTGAGTACTAAATCATTTTTAGCTTAATTTAAAAATATTAGTGAAAACAAAATGAAAGTGAATTGACTTACAGCTTGATAGCATGGTACGGCTGAATCGGTGCTTTTCGACGAGTTCACGTGCCAAATCGCATTTTTGATAGATTTTGGCATTGACTGCAGCCAGCCGAAGAAATACGATGAACAAAACAATCTTAGCCGCTTCCATTTAGTCCTTTTGACTCAAAGAAGGCAACTGTGCAAATGAAATGAAATCAACAATATAAATAATTCGAAGTAAGTCCAACGGATTTGCGTTGTATCAAGCAAAGAACAAAAACAAAACAAAAAAATTCTTGGAAATTCCCATAGTAAATGTAATTGAGGTTTATCGTTGTTACGCAATTTTGAGTGTATTTTGAAAGAATGTCTTAAGACATAGTTGGCATCGCACTCGATTCCCATACATCGTATTGACATGAAATGACATGTTTTATGATGTCAACACCACAAATTCCGAAATCAAATAAATTTATAGCGCATAATAAAAACTTAGTTATCACTTTCTACTCTATAAAGGCGAATGATTCAAAGCACCCACTTAGTTTGATATGGTTATTGAGAGTACTGTTCCGGCTAGTGTAAATCAACCGATTCGAACTTTGAGTAGTGACTCAATCGAGCCTATTCCAACGAACTATATACCCTGGACACCATTCAAGTGAATGCACTTCGATTCGAAGATAAATGAAAAAAAAAACACATTTTAAAACTAAATAGCTTAATACATCTGCCGCCGATTAGATGTCATCGACTTTTGTATGATTGTATCCTGTAAATTCGGCTTGTCTCTTTTGAATTGTGCTCATCGATCAATGTCTCTACAAGATATGAGATGGCTCAAGTGAAATAAAAACTTTCAGATTCTTGGAATTAGATTGAAACTGCGCCAATTATTTGCGTAAAAAATCAACCATTATGAATTAAATTTATCTGGCTAAATATTTTGAAGATACGCAATGAGCCTGTCAATGATGGTTCCGGTGAGTTTTGGCGTGTCAACAAAACAATACCATGTAATTTGGCGGTTATAACAATCACAACACAAACGCAACCCGATATTATCTATAGCGCTTTACACACAATCACACACACACACACACAAATCGACGCGCAATACCTACTGCTTAATGACTCCAAGTGAATATTTAAATGAGGCTTAAGCGAATGTAGGTGTTTGGAAGATAATCATTATATCAATTTGAATATCGACGTCAAACTATAGACTTAAGTTGAATTAGTAGCTAGCTTATCAGCTGTTGCTGCTTCTGTTGCTGTCGACTCGTGCTATTCGCCGAATCGTATACAGTTTTTTTCCGTGTGTGTCGTAAGTTTACTTAATAAACTGATGGAATGTAAATTCGTTTTTACACTATTCAATTCACTTTTTTCAATTAGACAATGAATTTTTCATCTCCATTCATCTCTTAAGGAGAAAAAAAGCGAAGATGAAATAAATGCCTCGTATTTTTACGTTACATTTTATTTGTTTTTATTTGGGGATTTTGTAGACGTATTTTTGAACATTTCAATACCAAAATAAAAATTGGGCGATCTGCCGAAATAGAGCAAGGTAAGCCGTTTCGTCAGAAGGCAAATACTAAATGACTCAGACTCCAATTATTTTTGTTAACAATTAAAATTACAAAAGGACTACTGAATGCGTTATGTCTTTGCTTGGGCTTTTGGCTATTTGTATTTGGTGGTGATAAGCATTGTTTCTTTAGAAAATGACAACACATACGTCCAACCACTTGACAAGATCGGATCGCACTGAGAGCGTGTGCAAATGATAACATCATGACCATACACAAACGAAATTGGGTAAGTATTAAAGACAAATACGAATACATTTTCGTTTTTCAGAATAAAAATGAATACGAATTCAATTGTTTTATGATGCCCGATGTAAATACGATCGCACGAACTCATTTAAGTGATTAAACTTATTGAATTTGACGACACCTGTGGTAAGAACAATGGATAAAGTAAACACAAAACGGACCGTCGTCCAAAAAACCAAAGAGAAAAAAATCACTCAAAACATACACAACCGGACGTCACACTGGAACAATCGGTCTTCTGTGGCGTATCTGCTGCTAATCGATTAGAACACACAATCTAAATTTGATTATGTATCGGATCAAATATCAACTTCTGAGAAATAGAAAATAAAACTGGTTATAGCTATGCTTCGGAGCAATCAATCACCCTCTGGCACACAACTTGATTAAGCGGCAGCACTTTTCGATCAAATGATTAATGTCTCGTTTCTCTTCGAAGCTGGGGAATGAATGCTAGGGGTTTCACGCAAACTCGAAGGCCGAAGATTTTACTAAATAGCTGGAAATAAAACCATTTTATGTGTAAACTATAGATATTGCTTCTTTTTATTCATAAACTCGATTTTATTAGAATTTTTTGAATCTAAAAATTCTGGAAGTGGGTTTTGGTGGATCCTCAGGATTGTTCA